GTGTGTGTGTGTGTGTGTGTGTGTGTGTGTGTGTCGAAGTGCAAAATGCAACCATATCAACCCATATATGGGAATCTCCAACAGCCATAGATATACCATAGAGTCTGTGAACAATCGGAGCACATACCTTGTCGTTGAAGTCGGGGTCAGCAATCCTTGTACGCACCTGTGGCAGCAACAACAAGCACCTTATTGCGCAATGGGGTAGAAGAGGGAATAGGAAAGAAGGAGGAAGGGAGCAAGATGGTCAATGCCATCAACGCCAGTATAAATACTGGTGGAGGAGGGGGGCGCATCCCCTAAAGCGTTTTTCGCCGCTAGCGCCAATCACGGCTCATCAGAGGGTGAATGTCCTCTGGCTCCCAAGGAGAGGGTGAGGGCCATGGGGGAACACGATAGGATCGAGTAATAGCAACTCTTACCATGTGTTCCATGATGCCTGCATCGGGGAGGTCGTCCCTGATCTGTGCCATCGTGCCGGGCCTCGAGGTTGCCGCTCGTAATTGCAGGAGTGAGTCCGAAGGAAAAAGGGTCTCGTCAAGGTATAAACCTTGCTGCCGATTACAGAACACACCGTACATTGAAGATGGTGCAGGGAGCACCAGCTATGGCGTCAATGTGTGCAGGAGCGCAACTGCCAATCACCATTCAGCAGGCTAGGGTGGATAGTATGCCACATGAATGCACTGCTTCAGAGAGATACGAGAAGAGAGATTGCAGAGTGTTGGGGAGAGGATTTGCGGCAGTATGATATGTGGAAATGTATGGTGAGGTGAGGGTCGTGATGACTGCATGTACTCATGCGTGGGATCAAGCTGGGAAGTCACCGGCTCTAAGGATCCCCATGAGTCTGCGGGGGGTATGTGGTTAGGTGTGGGGGCGTAGAGGGGATGGCGATAGTTATCTCGGGCCATGGGATGGTTATTCAGAGGGATTTTTTTAGGGAGGGTGAGGTAGGCAGCTATAGTAAGGAGAGGGGGTGATAACGTCTGCGAGGGTGTCATTATGTCGATGTGCGTGGTAGCATCCTGGTGCAAAGTTGAGGTGCCTGTTTGGTAGAGCCTCGTGGTGCATGTGCAGTGTCCGTTACCCACTTTACAGGTGTGCTGCACGTCTGGTATTGCATCGTGGTGGGTTGGTATGTTTTTTGGAGGCGGTGGGTTTTGTCTTCGAGTGCAGATATGGCGACATTGCGGGTTCGTCACGCATGCCTGTGCTTTGCTCTGCGTTGCGCCTCGTTCTGTCTTTTTGTGTGTGGCCCGCCTATGTCATATGTGGGTCGTCAGCGGTCAATTCAGATGGGCTTATGTGTGTGCGTGTCGCACGCGCCTTTTGTTTTGTCTGTGGAGGCTACGTTTTGTGTACAGTTCAGCCGTGTTGTTTCAGTGTTGTGTCGTTTCAGTTTTGGTTTCTGCGAAAAATATTTTGTTTTTATTTTTGTTTTATTTTTTCAAAAATATTGTGCTTTTTATTGGCTTACTTGTGGGTTGTGCATGGGTGTCAGTTATGTGTGGGTGAAAAAAGGCCACGCGCATTTATTTTGGGGAATTAGCAATTGTATATCTATACTTGGGTTGGGTGAAGGTTTTACCCTGTGATGGTGTAAATGCAGGTGGCAGAAAATTGTTGAGTTGGTTAGTTGGTTAGGAGGTGTGTGTGTGTGTGTGTGTGTGTGTGTGTGTGTGATTGTTTGTCACACATATGGTTGGGTGGATGATTATTATTGACACCCTATCTCATGATTCCATGTGTGCGTGTGTGTGCGACTCCTGAACTCCGTGTGTGTGTGTGTGTGTGTGTGTGTGCGTGTGTGTGTGTGTGTGTGTGTGTGTGTGATTGTTTGTCGCACATATGGGTGGGTGGATGGTTATTATTGACACCCTGGTACACATTGTTGCAGGGTGCGCATGATGGGCAGAATCTGTACATGCTGATGTCTTTGCCAGGGAAGTATGTCTTCAACTCCAGGTGGGTTTACAGGCATCCGCGAGGAAGGACTTCTTTCTGAGGACCTCGCTTCACCGCACAAAGTTTTAAATGCATCTGGACGTTCTTCTGTTCTCGATACTAGCAAATTTGGGCTAGTCTGGGTGAATTTTCACTTTCAAATGTTGTGCAGCGGAGTGAGGCCCTTATTGTTTACTGTACTCTTCCCTTGCGTCAGCCCCTGTGTAAAGCTCTGCGTAGAGGACAGCCGCAGGGATAACAAAACGTGAAAAGAAATGGGGGTAACATAAAAAAAAGAAGAAAAAAAAAACAAGGAAAAGGGAAACATAGGGGTAAAACAGTGAACAGGACTTAAAAAGGGCAAGCAGTCAAAAGACTCACGACTGAGATCACAAGCTATGTTTGATGAAGCTAAATGTCCAATTTGAACTGGATTGAGGGCATATTACTCACAGCAGGGACTTTCCTGGATATTTCTGGCCATAGCTATGGCCAGATTCATTCGAAAATTTAAAACTGACTATACCCAGATGTTTCCGGCCATAATTATGGCCAAATTCAGTCGAAGGAGATGATTTTGCGTCAAGATGTCTTCTTTGTTTTGCCTTGCTGTGACGCCTTTGTGTTGTCCTGTCCTGGTGCTGTGTCTGTTTTTATATCTGTTTAATAATATCTGTGGTCTCTTGCTGGGCTATTTTGTGTAACTAATACGTACCACTTTGTGACTGAATCTGAATCTAATCCCCGTTGTGATCAAATACATCTGGGAAGCCCCTGACATCATTTTATCGCACACATTCACACACAGCACACAAGGATAGGGGTCAAAACTTTTGGGAAAAGGAGAGGGGGGGGGAAGCAGGGGTGACGGAATGGGGGTTGTGGCAACGCGCGCTCCAAAAAGACAGTGCAATGTTTGGAGAGAGAGAGAGAGAGAGAGAGAGAGAGAGAGAGAGAGAGAGAGTTGACATCAACCCCGAATGCCCATGAATGAGTGTTCCTTATCTGTTTCCTATCTTTATTATCCAGTAGGACCAGTAGAGGTTGGGGAAGAGAAGTTAGAGAACATAAATAGAGACAGGACTTCAAATCAAGCTTCCTATAGCTCTGCTCTCTTGTGTTTCTTTCCGTTTCCTTTTTAGGAGGCTGAAGGGAAAGGGACATTTCTGTAAAGCTCATAATTCAACCCAGCGCAGCCTGCAAATGAAACCTGCCCATTTTCATTGTCTTCATCATCATCATCATCATCCTTGTCGTCGTTGGTGCCATTCCATCATCATCATCATCATCATCATCATCATCATCATCATCATTGTTACCATCGTCTTCCTCCTCCTCTGAGGCTCCTCCTCCTCCTCATCATCATCATTGTTACCATCGTCTTCCTCCTCCTCCTCCTCCTCCTCCTCCTCCTCCTCATCATCATCATCATCATCATCATCATCGTCATCATTGTCACCATCGTTTTCCTCGTCATCATCATCATCATCATCATCATCATCATCTGTCATTGTTGTCATAATCATGGTCATCATCGCAATCGGTGTCCTTATTATCAATTTCTTTATGTTAATAGTTCTGCTCATACTCTGTCTGCCGCCTGGAAGTTTAAAAGTACATCTCTTCCTCTTCAAAGGGTAACTTTTGTTAATGCACTTCTCAGCCTCTTAAGGGAAATTTTCTCGTTTGAGAATAAGGAACCCCTTTGGATTCTGAGCATGCTTTGTTCAATGTGGCTTTCTTTGCCTTCTTTCCATGAATGAACAGTGATAACCACCTGTGCCCCTCGGTTGCGCTCATGTTCGCCATTGGGAGTAGGGCGACATTCAAGTCAGTAGGTCCCCATCGCCCTCGTGCCCCTCCCCCCCCCTCCTCCCCCCCTCCTTGCCTCCCACCCCCCAGTAATGTTCCTTGCAACCTATGCACTAGCCAGGAGTTTTTTTCTTCTTAATAAACAATTATGACTCGTTTATGAGTGGCTTAATAATACCAATATACCATGATATATGCCAATATAGCATGATATATGACTTTTTATATGTAAATAAGTCAGTGCGACATCCGCAGCAGCGCTACCGCACATCTGGGCGTCTCACACTCCCCAAAGAAAATGCAAAGAAAATCAGTGTGACTCCTTTCAATTCAATTGTCTCTTAGACTCTTACCAATCTGTTCCATTCTGGGGAGCATCATTGGCTTACATTCTTATCATGTTTTTTTTTTTTTTTCGGAAATTTGTGAGTCTTCTTGAGACTCTTTCTGATTTTCTGACGGAGCCGTTTTTTTTCTCTTCATGCACTCACAATGTGTTGAAGTAGACTTAAAAAAACTCAAACTTCATTCGAATTTCTGCAGTCATTTTTTAATACTTATTTTTTCTGGAACTTGGCTGACGTTTACCTGTCAATTTCTGTTATCCCACTTATGGAGCTTTGGATTTTTTTTATTTTTTTGTGAATGATTTTTTTTTTAACAATCTTTTGTTTTCTTTTTTTGGGGGGA